GTACTGTGCTCACTACCGGAGTCACCCGTACACCAAACCTCAGCATCACTCAAACCTGCACATGTACCCACTGAACCCAAAATATAAGTTGAAATTTTAAAAAGGAAAAAAGGACCAGGTGTGGTGGCTCACCCCTGTAATCCCAGCACTTTTGGGAGGCCAAGGTGGGAGGATCACCTGAGGTCAGGCATGCTAGACCAATCTGGCCAACACGGCAAAACCCCATCTCTACTAAAAAATACAAAATAAAATAAAATTAGCCAGGCACAGTGGCACGCACCTGTAGTCCCAGCTACTCAGGAGGCTGAGGCACTAGAATTCCTTCAACCTGGGAGGTGCAGGTTGCAGTGAGCTGAGATTGGGCCACTGAGGTCCAAACTGGGCAACAGAACTAGACTCTATCTCAAAAAAAAAAAAAGAAAGAAAGAAAAGAAAAAGAAACAAAGGAAGAAACGGGCTGTGGAGTCGGAAATGTGTGGACCTGGGGAGAGGAAGTGCCATGTCCTTGAGGGTGCCATGGCCACTGCCTGGAGTCATCCTGCAGGACTGAATGTGCACACGTGAGTGCCATGGCCTCCCGGTTGGCAGCTGTGCCTCCCACCTCCTCCAGCTGGGGTGGGTGCAACTGTCCAGCCAGCAATGTCTCCATTCAGCTCTGTCAGTTCAAGGCTGTCTCTACCAGCCAGGGGCTCTTGTCACTCTGGAAGAAGGCTGAGCATTGCTGTCCACCTGGCATCTGCTGGCCATGCAAGCCCTCCCCAGTGAGTCGAGGAGGCCTTCATCTGTGGAAATGCTGACACCCAAACCAAATGTGATTCATTCCACCCCAGCTGTTCCTCAAATGACCCCACAAGGGAGCAGCCGAGGCTCAGGCTGCTTGGTTCATAGTAGGAGCCTAGGGCAGGGGTGTAGGCCTGCAGGGTGTGGAGAGTGGGTGGCGAGGCTCCACCACGGGCCCCCCTCCGAGGGCCACTGCCTTCTCAGGGTGCCGGCCACCTTCGCCCGTGTTCTGTCCCAGCCGTGGCTGCTCGAACCTGCACCCAGAGGCAGAAAAGCCTGCAGCCATCCTTGAATTCAGATCCTGCTTGTCCTCAGAGCAATCTGGTCACCAGTTCAGTGCAAGGGTCAAGGTCAAGACGGCTGGGGTAATTCCCGTCTCTGCCACCCCCTGCCGTGTGACTGGTTACGTTGCTTCAGTAGCTAAAAAGGATAATATTGGCACTTTCCTGGGCCGGTAATGCGCCTGCTCAGAATGAGTCCCTGCTGTCACTGTTTGTGTGTCTTCCTATCTCTAAGGGGACAGAGCACTCCCTCGGTTTCCACAGTGAAATCTATTTTTGCACGCACTGTTATGACTCATTGGTCTGGGACCATCCTGATGTCCTGTGCTGGAGCCCCTCAGGCAGACACAAAGTGACACAGAGAGTCCTCCTGTGCTGGACAAGCTATCACTTCTTAGACATTCGAAACTTCATCCTAAAAAAACCAACAAACAAACAAACAAAAAAAAAATCAAAGAAACAGCTACACACATCATTTGGAATAACTCCGGAGCACAGCGGGTGCTGGAATCAGATGGCTGGCACCGTAACAGCTGTTTTAGAAGCAAAAGATGTAGTTCTGTCCTCGAATCAACATTAACACCCATGAATCACCCAGAATCGGATTCCAGAGCGGGAAACAACAGTGAACCCCGTGGGGCAGATGTGGACCCCAGGCTGCCACAGCCACCGCCCGGGCTGGGGAAGTGTCCCCATGCCTGGAGTCCAGGACGCCTGTGCAGTGAAGCTGATCGGTGCTGCCCTCGCCTGCCCATGTGCCGTGGGGCCGACCGGTGGGAGAGCAGCCTGCATTCTGTCACCTGAGAAAGGGAAGCTCTCCTACTCTTCCTTCAAAGTTCATCTCAGACATCAGCTTCAGACAAGGCTTTCTAGACCCTCTGCCCAGCGGGGAGCCCTTCAGTGCCCCGTCCCCTCTACCGGGCCGGTGAGGATGAGCACCCCAAGTCAAGGCCCAACGCCAGCCTCCCCATCTCCCAGACCTGCTGGCGCCTACAAGTCCCGGGCCTGGCAGAGGTCCCACCCGTCACCTGGTCCCAGAGGCAGGGCTGCCCCATCAACCCTGTGCCTGGATGCTTCCCCTGGGAGACGCAGGACGTCCTGGCAGGATGGGACTGGCGGTGCACACCCTGCAGGAGCCTGTGGTGGGGCTGCCGATGTCACCTTCGCCCGCTTTCACGGTGCTCAGAAGCTGATTTCTCGAGGCCTGAGGTGATAGCTGAGGCCTCTCGGGGCTCCAGGGCTCTGTGGGCCTCTGTCCCCTGCATCTTCTTCTCCACCCCAGCTTAGAGCTCAGCGTGCAAGCTCGTGGGGGGCACAGGGAGGGGCCGGACGACCTCACAGCCAGGCCTGACCTTTAGAGTGGGCAGCGCCAGCCTTCTAGGTGAGAATCAAGGACTGTCACGAAGGCTCCCGCCTGCCAACCACCTTGTGGATGTCATTCATGGCTACTGTGTGTGATTTGGCCACCAAGGAAGACCAGGTTATCACAGGGGCCTGGTCCAGTGACTGGAGCCTGTAATCCCAGTGCTTTGGGAGGCTGAGGTGGGAGGATTGTTTGAGCCCAAAAGTTCAAGGTTGCAGAGAGCCGTGATGGTGCCGCTGCACTCCAGCCTGCTCTCTCTCCAGCAGAGAGAGACCCTGTCTCAAAGAAAAAGAAAAAAATTAAGAGTTATGCTCTCCCTTGACAGCACGCATTGGAAGAGTAAACGAGGGTGCAGCAGGTTGAACAGTGGCCCCAGAAAGACACATCCAACCCTGTGACGGTGACTGAGAAAAAGTTCTCTGCAGATATCCTCAAGTTAAGGACTTCGAGATGGCCTCATCCTGGATTGACCAAGTGGGCCCTCAATCCAATGACAGTTGTCCCTACAAGAGGCAGAAGAGCAGACACAGACACAGAGGAGAAGGCCACATGGGGACAGAGGCAGAGACTGCAGTGATGCGGCCACCACCCAGGGACGCCCGGAGTCCTGGAACTGGGAGAGGCAGGAAGGAGGCTCCCCAGAGCCACAGGAGGGAGCATGGTCCCTGGACAGCTCAGTCTCAGATTTCTGCCTCCAGAGCTGTGGGAGGATGAATGCCTGCTGTTTAAAGACCCCCAGTTAAGGGTATTTTTCCAGCAGCTCCAGGACACAGCACATGGGGTGTCCAGGACACAGGTTTCCCTCTCTGGACCTGATTCCAGACATGAAAGACAGGACAGCCGGGAGCAGCCTCGGCCGGGAGCACCCAGGAAGACTCCAGGCGCACAGCAGTCCCTGAAAGGTCGGGGTCCCGTCTCCCTCTCAGGCCAGCATTGCACCCCTCAGGGGAAGCCTAGCTCATCTGCCATCTGTCCTATGTGGGGCTTCCGTATGGATTCACGGCACAGTGGGAAAACGAGCTGACATCACCTACGGGCTACAGTGGCTCGGGGCCCTCAAACCCGGGGGTGAGCAGAGGAGACTGCACCGGGCCCTGCACTTCTGCCCTTTACTGCAGAAGAATTAAGAGGGAGAGGGGCTAGGTTGTTTTGTGGCAGGTTTTTCACTTCTGGCAGGCAGGGCTGTTTTCACACAAACATGTTTTATTGCCTACAAGTGGGATTTTTAAACACTGTCTATCTTTCTTATCGTTATTAATCAGAGAGCTGTCCTTATCAGCAGCAACGCCTGCACAGCATCAGCGTCCGCACACGCCTGGTGGGAGTGTGGAAACTGGGCCCAAAGACTGCACAGTATCAACATCAGCACATGCCTGGTGGAAACGCGGAAACCCGGTCCATCAGAAAAAGGGACTGTTTCCTGCCTCATGGATGAGATGATGAATTGATTTTGCTGCTCAGAGGCTCGGGCAATGCCTGTGGTGACTGGGGGAGACGATGATAATGATGAAAATAATAAGAGTAACAGTCACAGCCGTCATCTCTGAGCACTTCCTACCAAGTGTGGGGCACTGCGCTGAGCACTTAAGATGCCGTATTACATTTAATCCTTACAAAAACACCATAAGTGGAAATGAAGATGATTCGCTTGTAAATTAGGAAATGGGCTCTGAGGTGTTAATGACTCACCCAGGCCCCTGTGTGGCAGAACTGAGGGTCCAACCAGGTTTCCCTACTCCAAGGCCTGCAACAGCTATGCCAGCCATACTGCCCCCAGTGAGAAGCTTGGGGTCCCACGTCAAGGAAAAGGCAGTGCTGCAGCCTTGGGCCCAGAGGAGCCGGGAAAAGGATGGCCACAGAGCCACACTCTGGCTGCCACATGCTACTGTGTGTGCTGCCTTTCCAGAGACCAGGAGTCGCCTTATCACTCATCAAATTATGTTAAGGGGTGTGCAGGGGCACACGTGTATGTGTGTACATGTGTGTGCACGTATGCACGTGTACCTCTGTGTGTGCATGTGTGTGCATATTCCTGTGTGCATGTGTGCCCTAGGTGCGTCGTGTGTTGCATGTGAATGTGTGCATCTGGTGCATGTGCAGGAAGGTGAGAAGAGGTTGTGGAGTGAGCCACAGCGCCAGCCATTTAGCCAGGAGAGCAGCCTGAGACTGCCGGCTGTGTAGACGCTGGCTCTGGAATACTCAGAAGACTGGTGGCCCCTCATCCCTGTAAAAATCCCCTCCTCCTCCCTGAAAGACTCCTCCAGCCGCTGCTCTGAGAGGCAGGGAGAGGGAAGTGGACACTGTTTCCATGGGGAGGTCGACAGAGCTCAGGGTTTCTGCTGAGAGCAACACTGAGGTTAACCACTCATAAGCTACTCAATATGATTCTGAGTTTTGGGGGCACAGCCAGAGAGAGGCCACGTGTGGCCAGTGGGGGACAAGGCTGTGAGAAGCGGAGGAGAGCAGGCCCAAGTGTGGCCACATGGGGATGAGGCTAAGGATGGGGAGGACAGTGCCCATCATCCTTTGCGGCACCTGCTTAGCCCAACGTGGAGGCCTGTGCTTGTGTCTTTCAGGAATTCGCAGACTCCATATCCCAGCTGGTCACACAGAAGTTCCGCGAGGTGACGATGGACCTCACGCCCATGCACGCCCGCCACAAAGCTCTGGCAGGAATCGTCATGACCAAAGGTAGCCACCTCCTCTTTTCCTGTGGGCATTTTCATCTCTAAAGAAAGGAGCATTAGCATCTACCTGATCTTGGAGGCCAAAAGGCTCTCTCTTCCACACCAAGCTGTGGCAAAGAAAGACAAAATATTATAGGATACACAGAGATCAGTGGCCAGAGCGTATTAGCAGGAAAAGCCATCCTGACCATGGTGCTGTGATTAGGCTGCCAGGGCCCAGCTCTGCACAAACATCCCCCATCTCTGGGGGGCCTGGCCAGTCCCTTCCGGAGAACCCAAGTCTCCTGAGAGTCCTGAGTCCCTCTCGTTGGGGTGTAACCCACCCCGGAACGCTCTCGTTTCTGCCAAGATTCCCCATCCTAAACACCCAGGGAGTGAATTCCACTCTAAGAAATACGGGTGACCCAGCCGCGAGGGGCATGCTGACAGCCAAGGAGGCGGCATCTCCAGTCAGCCAGGATGGGGGAAAATGAATGAGGGCTAAATTTGATGAGTCAGCACTGTGGAAATAACAAGCCACCAACCCATTAATAACAAGCCAGCGGGTTATTTGAATTCAACCATTTCCATTTCCAAAGTTTTTCACAACTGTGTAATGACCTCCTTGTCACACTCATTACACTCTCACACACTTGAGAGTCGTTACTGTAAAATAGTAACTGACTTTTGGATTAAGTTTCACACACACGCTTGCTCTGCATGTGCCGGCAAAATCTAAGGCGGAAAAAGACCATCGACCTGACATACAAACATATTTATATTGAAAAATAAAGGACCAGATGACTGGCATGGTTCTCAACCATGCTGGGCTGGCAGGGTCCTCTCCAATCTTACTGGGTGTGGGAATATTGGAACCCAGCACCCAGTGCCATGTCTTGGCTGTGTAATCTTCCCAGTGTGGGCCTCCTGGTAAAATGAAAATGAAACTGCTTCCTCACAATGTAACTGGGTGAGATCTAGAATATGAGATGCTTTGAAAGGTAAAGTTGTTTTATAAATAGATCATGCAATATATAAATATACCAGACCCGCCCTGACCACCAGCACCTGCCCCACCTTTGAGACACAGACGACATCTGCCTCTTTGTGGAATTAGGAATGTTCTAAATTGAGGGCTAAGAGTTCACCTCCACCAAGCTCATCCCTGCTGGAGGTGACCATTCCTTCATCCTCCAGCATGCAGCCATCAACTGGGCACCACCATACACTGGGCACTGCTCTGTAGGCCCACGGGGCTGCAAGGAAGAGACACGGCCCCCACTCAGGGTACAGCAGTCTCACTAAGGGAGCAGTGAGTTTGGCAGGCCAAAAGCATCATCCTAGCACAGAATCCAGCCCCACCTGCACAGAGCTCTGCGACTCATGGCCAGCCACTGAGCCTTGCTGGGACTCTGTTCTCTCACCTTTAAAAACAGGGATAACAGCAACACCTACCTGATCAGGTTATTTTGATGGCTAAATGTGTTCATGTATTTCTAGCTCTTAGAAAGTTACCTAGCCCATAGCAAGTACCATGTAAGTGTTAGTTAATTATTGGTAATGGCACTGTTTCATTTACAAATTATTTAGTCAGTGCCTGGCATACAAAGTTCTGGGGAAACAGCAGAGAACAAGAGACCAAACACTTACCCTTGTGGCTCTTATATTCCAGTGGGGAATGGTTCTTAAAGAATAATTTAAATCCAATATAAAAGAACTATAAAAGAACTATGTACACACAGAGTTGTTGGTCCATATAAACAAAACTTTGGTAAATTTTAAAATGTGGAGTGTTACAGAGATTTCTGCTACAGGTTTCTAAATAACTCAGTTTAAATTAGTGTCCTGGTCTGAAAGGAAAGGAGGGAGGGTTGGGGGAGGGAGTAGAAGGGGGAGGGGAGAGGAACCAGCCACCCTGGCTTCCTTATTGTGCAATGCACTTCCAGCCCCAGAAGCATAAGTCAGTATGACTTGGAAAGTAATTTTTTAGCATTTCTCGGCTCCAGAACTGTGATTGTCCAATATCTTTCCATCTTTCTGGGAAACAAATCTGGCAAGTTTTGGAAGCTACTCTCAAACTTCATGTGGAAAATAGTAATGTTTTACAGAGGCTTCTGGGGAAATGATACTTCTGAGTTGCCAGTGAATACAATGCTTTATGTGTAGGCAATTTATCTACATGAATTAAACTTATTATATGAAAAATGAGACTTCACAAGGTAGAGCTTCACTAATTAGTGACTTCTGAATGCTGAATAACTTGCTGAAATTTACTTTCCTATTGTAAAGAGATAAACATTGATTTTAAAAAATTAGAAATGTGCAAAATTACTAATACAAACATTTTTAGATACTCATTTACTTAAAGTTGATGTGCCATTTCATCTTAATTCTAGTTCAGTTATTCAAGCAAATGCCTAAGAAATTCTCAGAGTAATGTGTCTTGTTCTAGTTGCTGTATATGTCACAATGTTTTAAAATTAAACTTATTTTGAAATAAAACACAATTTGATTTGCCACTCCAGTGGATGGGATGCCAACTCTCTCACATTAATTAGCTCCTGAAAGTTCTGTTTATGAATCAGAGACCATTTCTTTGCCATTATGAGAAATATAATCAGAGAAATATATACTTATGAACAGAAGTTTTATTTTTATCAAATTAATGCAGTCATATGGTAGAGATTCTAAAGAACTTCTGAATGAAAAGCCATATTCTCCCACTCCACCCCTCACTCCCCTTCACTCTCAGAAGCCACTCTAACCATTTTAAATTTTGTTCTTGTGACTCTAAGTACTATATTGCTTCTATATTTCTAGATTTTCAGTTCTAGATAACATCTATTGACTCTTGCTATTAACATTTGATACTTTTTCATTTTCCATTATTGTTTGTAATGCACAATTATAGATAATAAACCTTTATTTCTCATTGCATCAAATTTAGAAGGTGTGGGTTCACTCCGTTCTGTGCATTGAAGGTGGCAGCCCTCAGCCCCTTCCCCACTAGCCAGCTTCTCCCAATTACATGTTACATCTTTACACCATCATCACTGGTATTTATATCCTTTCTTATGCCCATAATTAAGTCTTCTCTATTTTGTCTTTTGAGTGATTGTAAGAGCTGAACAGCATCTATCTGATGAGAGTATTGTAGATATTCCCACCACAGAGCCAAGCAGAACCACGTTCAACCTTCCCAGGACAGTTCCCCTGAAAAGGGAGCCTGGCTGCCTGGCGTCAGGACACACAGAGGCTCTGCCTACACCCCCAGCTCCAAGTTGTGTTGTGTTTAAGTTTGATTCACGTGTGTTGCTAGACTTGCTTATATCACTTTTGAAATATTGTGCTTTTTTTTTTTTCTGGAATGTCTTCTTTTTTCTTACTGAAAAAGAAGAGAGAGGAAGATTGTGCCTTTACCATACATGCTGTCACGAGGCCTCCAGGGAAGCATCTTGCAGAGGGTACCTGCCTCTCTCCCGGAGAACTCCCCAGCCAGGCCCACCGAGGCACATGCTCTGCAGACCCCGCGTCCTGCTCTTCCAGTGGGACACCATCTCCGAGATCACTGTCTTCTTCCCTGCTTTGTCTCCCCTCATACAGAGCTTCCTCAAGAAGCATCATCTACAATGGGAGATCAACTTTGTGAATATTCCCACATCTCAAAATGCCTTGATTTGCTTCTCATCCGTCTCAATAGGTTCCCAGGTGGGGAATTCTAAGCTTTCAATTATTTTCCCTCAGTATTTTGAAGCAATGTTTCCATTATTTTTTATCCAATATTTCTGACCTGCCTCACATTTTCTCTGCAGTGACCAGCACCCATCCCTACCCGGGAGGGGGAAAGGTCTTTTTTTAACTTGGATTTAAGAATATGTTTAGGTATGAGCCATTCACCTCTCTTGACATATTTAAGCTATTCGTATATTTTCACGTCATTTGTGTTAAGAATTCCTTCATTTACACACATTTCTGTTAAATTTTCAATACTCTCTATTAATCTTCTGCTTTTACTTTTTAAATTTTGGTCTCTTCATTCTTTTACTCGATGTTTTTGGAGATTTCTTAAATTTATCCTACAGCTCATCAACTGCCTTTCCCTCCTAATTTTTGCAACCTATTTTCATTATTTGAGTCTTTCACTTATCCTCCATTCTTCCTTTTTCATAAAGGGCGTGGACTGTGTCTTCCGGGGGAGCCTCTCGTTCTGTAGCTGTAACTTCTGTTCAACTCCTCTGAGGAGACGCCCTGGCCCGTGTCCTCCAGGCCAGGGGCAGTGGCTTTCTGTTTCTCGTGGTCTTTCTCCCGTGTCCTGCTCATGGCTCTCGTCTGAATACACACACTTGTGAACGAGACGTTAGATTGGTATCGTAGGCGCTGGCCTGGTGTCTTCTGCGGTGTCTTCTGTGGCCAGCTGGTCCTTCTCCCACAGGCTCCCGCCCGGATGGGAAGGCGGCGCAGGGCCCATTTCCATCAGCTCAGGTCTCCTTAGGATTCCCGGCAGGCGCCCCCACCCCGGCCAGCGCCAATGAGGTGGGGTCCCAGCCGGCCCTGGACCCTTCTCAGGTGGTCCTTCCCTCCCTGTAGCGTGAGACTCCATCTTTCATGCTGAACAAGTGCTTCCACCCTCAGACATTCTCCCCAGTGAGCAGGACGCTTGGCCAACTGCCGCAGCCATTTATTAAAAATAATCCTGTGAGCCTTATGCCAGGAGAACACGCACTGCTGCCCCCGGACCCGTAGCCACCGAACCTGGGCCCTCCCAGGCCTGACCTTGAAGGCAGCTGCTCTCTCTGCCACTCGGAAGCTTTGCTCTCATTCTCTCAACTCCTTCTCTGCTCCGACTCACACGCCATCTTCTCAGAGGGCGTGGACTGTGTCTTCCGGGGGAGCTTGGACACTGCTCAGGCCTGGGAGGGCGTGGGCCCTTGCTCAGGTCTTCGGGAGGAGCCTCGCCATGCTCAGGCCGTGTCCCGGTGGAGCGTGGACCTGACTGAGGCCGTCCCCCGGGAAGCTGTGGATCCC